GAAAAGAATGATGTATGGGTGCGGCTGGGTGGCACAAACAGCTGACATCCTCCGCTGCAAACGGGAAGGTTAGGCATTTGAATCCAGCCAGAGGTGCCTTGGAAGTAAGGGCTGGTGGTTTACTTCCCAAAAATCAGTCATGAAAACCCTGGGGAGCACAGCTCTGCTCTGACGTAGATGGGGCCCGCGAGTCAGGGGGACTTGACGATAGCTGGGTTTTGGTTTTGTTACTGAGTTACCTTGATCGAGATGGCTATAGCCCACACCCAGTGCACTCGAGGGCCTTCATGCATCACAGGTGCCAGTGGCCCTGCTGACAGGTGGGCCACAGGGAACGATTCCTGTTCACCTTCATCCTCCCGTGCCAGGATGTGATGTGAGTTTGAGGAGAAGCAAGACTATACGTTCGTGGGGTGATTTTTACATTTTGTGGTGGAGACCACCAATCAGTAAGTCGACAAACAAGCAGGACAACTGGAGACTGCAGTAAGTGCTCAAAGAGATTTCAGTGATAATGTGCTCAAGTTACTTGGAGGAGACAAGGTGGCCAGGAAAGGCCTCTCTGAGAAGGTGCCATCTGAGCTGGGCCCTGGAAGATGAGAATGTCCAGAGGAAGAGCTGAGCAGCCTGCAGGTGCAGAGAACCACAGTCAAGAAAACGTCTGGCAGGTTCAAGGGCGAGCAAGAAGGCTGCTGGGCTGAGCGTGGGGATCAGGGGCAAGTGCCAGGCGGTGAAGCAGAAGACGTAAGCAGAGGCCACATCTTGCAGACTTCTGTCGACCATAATAAAAACCAAACAAAAATAGCACCAAACCTGCTACCACAGAGTCAATTCCAAGTCATGGCGACCCTGTAGGTGCCAGACTAGAGCTGTGCCCCATCAGGTCCTCAGAGCTGTGACCCTGTGGGTGCAGAGCTCCGGGCGTGTCTCTCGAGGTGCCTCTGAGTGGGTTTGAACCTCCAACCTTTCACACTTCACTGTTTGTGCCACCCAGGGACTCCTATAGACCATGCTTTGTTGTCGCTGTGTGCCATCGAGTCACTTCTGACTCCAGGTGACCCCATGTGACGGAGTAGAGCTGCCCGTAGGGTTTCCTAGGCTGTAATCTGTATGGAAGCAGATCACCAGGTCTGAAGGAGTTAAAACAGCCGTGGAGCATACCCTGTATCTTTTACAAAGAATATTCCAGCAGTTTTGAAGAACAGACTGAAGGGAGTGAGAGCAGGAAACCCATTTAGTCGCCCTAGTGAGCACTGTTGGTGGCTGGGTCTAGAGCAGGGGCAGTGGTGAGGAAGACCAAGTGTCTCTCAGACCTGTCATTGAGACATCGAACTGACAGGCTTCGCTGATGCATGGCTGTCCTGGGAACGTGTGGCCAGAGCGAGGCAGTGATCTGAAGGGACGAGACCAGAAATTCAGGTTGCTACCAGGGAGTTGGGTCTTCAACCCAGAATCAGCAAGAAGGTTCTAAAGACAAAGTCTTTATCGGACTTGGCCTAATTTTGATGGTTTCCTTTTGTTAAGTAAATATTCATAAGAGTAAACTTAGCACCTACACACTTCTACCAAGATTTACATATGATGTAACCTTATGAAACGAATGGGGGAAAGGGTGCTCGTTATTCGTCTCAGATCACCGGATGCTGGCTGCCTTTGCCCACTCGCCTCCGCTGCGGGGTAAACCGGATCACCGAAGTCAGGCGAACAGTGTGCCTTGTGTAACAGTAAAATGTGTTGTCAAGAACGTCTTGGAAGCCCCAGCCATTGTTGAAATACACTCCCTGGGACGGATGCTCTGACACTTTCCTTAGGAGGCAGGCCAGTATGTTTCCTTATCGTGCGCAGGAGACTTCGTCTTCCGCACAGGAAAACAGACAAAAAGGGCCTCTCAGCACGAGTTACTCCTCTGTAAAGGTTATAGTAAACATGTCAATGCCTAATTAAGCAGAAAAGTTGATCTGCATGGTGGGGGCGGCGTTGGCTGTCTCCGACTTTTCTTCTGGGGAATCCACTTAGAAGGACAACGCAGTCTGTGAGGGGAGCTGGTCTGGAAAGCTCAGCTTCCGAATGTCAGCGGCAAAAAAGAGCTGCTTTTTTTCCTTGTGTGAAAATGACTGTCTTGGCCAAGCACCCGTGTGTGTGCATGCCCACGTACACTCCCTTTCATGTGTATTTCACCAATGCACACACAAAATAACAGTGAGCACTTCCGGTCTCCTCCTACGTGCAAAGCGCTGAAAATTCTGAGATGAATAAAATCCAGCAGCCTCCTTAACCAGTTGTTCTCCCAGAACGCCTTCTTGCTTGTCCCTGTGGTTTTCTTCACTTGGTGGGGGGGCGGGGTGCCTCTGTGTGTGTATACGCACTTTCCTTTGGGGCTGTGTTCACCTGGCCCAAAGGTAGGGTAACTACATATCTTAGTTTGCCAACAAAAGTCCTAGAGAATGCCTTTTGTCCCAGTGTATAAGTAATGGCACCCATTTCATTCTCACAAGTGACCCATTTGATTGATAGTCTGACTGATTCTTCGGAGCATGTACTTGGCTCTGTAACAATGCAGTTATTAATTTTATAACATAGACTCTGTCCTTGGACTGAATGGTGTGACTATGTTTGCAAACATACATACTTGTCCAGGAAAAAGAAAATGTGATGGGGATTTGGAGATGGGATGTCCAACTCAGTCATTCAATTATTTTAAACAAGGGTTTTCATCCAAGTAGTGACCACCTATTAAAGGTTGGCTTGCTAGATTGAGCAGTTTTTGTTTCTTCATATCAGTTTATGGAACTAGAGACTAGCAGCACCAATTTCCTGGGACATCCACTTGATAGCTTGCTTGGAGAACAAGGAAAAACAACACTAGCAGTAATGAAATAACTCATACAACCACAAAACTAGTGACTGGACTAAACATTTGCATGTTGGTCTTGTTCTGATGAAATCACACCTTTAAAATCTTGCGGGGGTGGGGAGTGGGGGGCTGGTCTTCACCTTTCTCACAATTCTCCCTTCCAGGTTGGTAATCTATTTACCAACATTTTCAAGGAAATTCCACCACCTAACCTTTAACCTTTGGGTCTCTGCAAAGGTTTCTTATTTGTTAGGTTGGCAATAGAGATTGGAGCCTAGTGGTTAAGACCGTGGACTCTGTCATCACACAGACCTGGGTTCACGTCACAGCTCTGCAATACTAGCGTGTGACCTCAGGCAAATTCCTTACCTTTGAAGGCTCAGCTCTCCCGTATGTGAAATGAGAAGAATACTAGCACCTGCTTTGTATGGATATTAAGGAGCTCTGGTGGTATGGTGCTTAAAGCCTTTGACTGCTAACCAAAAGGTCCGTGATTCAAACCCACCAGCTGTTCCAGGGAAGAAAGACAAGGCAATCTGCTTCCATAAAGATTTACAGCCTTGGAAACCCAATGGGGGTCACTTAAGGGTTGAAATCGACTCATTGGCAATGAGTTTGAGTCTGGTTTTCATACAAATATTAGAAAGAAATGGGAGAATGCACTTATATTGGTGAGCACAGTTCCTAGGACGTAGTAAACAAGTTGCCAAGGAGTTGATGCCAACACCCCCAGCTCATGTCAACCCCATGTGTGTCAGAGTAGAACTGTGCTCCACAGGGTTTTCAGTGGCAACTTTTTCAGAAGTAGAGCACCAGGCTTTTCTTTCAATACTCCAATGAGTGGACTTGAACCACCAGTCTTCCACTTAGCAGCCAAACACACTGACCATTTGCATCATCCAGGGGCCCCAGGACCTAGTAATTGCTCAATAAATGTTCTTCCTCCTCCTCATCGTCCATCTTTGGACTGTTCTGCCTGCAGCTGCCTCATTCCTAACAAACCTTCATCTCTTTGAACCCTCTCACCCTGCCTCTCAGGAGAGCGCTCCAATGAGTGATCACCCCTTTCCAGACTTCACCCTTGGTAACATCCCCTCTATGGTTACTCCCAAATAGCCACTTGACACTGAAAGGAGAGGTAGCAACTGATAAGAAAATATTGCATTGAGATGCAAATGTAAGACTGACTCTCCTTTGCCTTTGTCCTCCTTTGGTTGCATTGTAGCCACATGATCTGGTAAAGGCCAGGTAAAGAAATGAACCCATGAGTGTGAATAGTCACATCCCCATTGCCATTGATGGATACATGCCCATTAATTCCCTTTGCACCCACTCTCTCATGCCTTCATTTTCCCTCTGCAATTACAGGCCCTAAATCCGTTCAGAGAAGGGCAAGCATGCATCCCCAATAGTACTTTGCATCTACAAATCAAATGTATAATTGGCATCTTGTGATGAGAACCCACAAATCACAGTGCCTTTGAAATTACAGACACAAGATCGAGAGGGCATTTTCAGCCTTGTCTGGAAAGGGCTTCATAAACCCGCTTGAGAATAATAGAATAGTCCCCAAATCTCCCATTCTAGTACTATTTGCTATTATTTTAAAATCATTGTATTTGCTGAGCTTACATAATTTTTCAGCTCTCTATTCACATCCTCCATAATCTCTCTTCCTGCTGTGCAACTCTCTACAAATAAAAATGTTATAACAAAAAGACATTGGCTATCAAAAATATAATGGCCATGCATCCAAATTACTTTTGAATACTCAGAAATGATTTATTGGATGATTATATGCCAATATATCCAAGTGTCTTGGAAAACCTCACCATCAAGATGCCAAGGGTCAAGTGTTCGTTTTCTTATTAGCCAACTGCCTTCACCATAAAGATATGACTTTAATAGGATTTGAATTTCAGTCTAGCTTTCCTGAAAGTCATACAGATGAATTTAGTGTCTGTCGCATTACAGAAATATTAGAGTGATATTCCTCAAACATGAAAATTATTAACTTGGGATTCTGGGCATTTATAAAGAATTATGACTCCTGACAATTTAAAGAAAAAAGAAAGATGGTAGGCAGCACAAAAGACACCATTTGGCTTTTTCTTGTTTCTTGTGCTCACAGTTTATAAAAGTATAGATGAAACTCGTATGCAGTTTGCTATGGGAAGCACTTAGTGTATGTGGGGAAATTGAAGTGGAATATGTGACCTGCTGTTGTTACTTCATCTCTTCTTCTTTTGCAGGCTATGCCCAAGAGGAACAGCTGAAGGTAGAGGAGGAAATAAAAGAGGAAGAGGAGGAGGAAGACAGTGGTTCAGCAGCTCAACTTCAGGGCAGCAATGACCCAGGAACAGATGAAGAGCTAGAAACAGGCCCAGAGCAGAAAGGCTGCTTCAGCTACCAGAACTCTCCAGGGAGTCATTTGTCCAATCAGGATGCTGAGAATGAATCCCTGTTAAGTGATGCCAGTGACCAGGTGTCAGACATCAAGAGTGTCTGCGGCCGAGATGCCTCAGACAAGAAAACAAACAGTCACCCCAAACTTCCGAAGGAAGCACACAATTGTATGGATAAAATGACCGCCGTCTATGCCAACATCTTGTCTGACTCCTATTGGTCAGGCCTGGGTCTTGGCTTCAAGCTGTCCAATAGTGAGAGGCGGAATTGTGACACCCGAAATGGCAGCAACAAGAGTGATTTTGACTGGCATCAGGATGCTCTGTCCAAAAGCTTGCAGCAGAACTTGCCTTCTAGATCTGTGTCCAAGCCCAGCCTGTTCAGCTCGGTCCAGCTGTACCGGCAGAGCAGTAAGATGTGTGGGGCCGTTTTCACAGGAGCCAGCAGATTCAGGTGCCGGCAGTGCAGCGCCGCCTACGACACCTTGGTTGAGTTGACTGTGCACATGAATGAAACCGGTCACTATCAAGATGACAACCGCAAAAAGGACAAGCTTAGACCCACAAGCTACTCAAAGCCCCGGAAAAGGGCTTTCCAGGATATGGACAAGGAGGATGCACAGAAGGTTCTGAAATGCATGTTTTGTGGTGACTCCTTCGATTCCCTCCAAGATTTGAGCGTCCACATGATCAAAACAAAACATTACCAAAAAGTGCCTTTGAAGGAGCCAGTACCAACCATTTCGTCAAAAATGGTCACTCCGGCGAAGAAGCGTGTTTTCGATGTCAATCGGCCGTGCTCCCCTGATTCAACCACAGGATCCTTTGCAGACTCGTTTTCTTCTCAGAAGAACGCCAACCTGCAGCTTTCTTCCAACAACCGCTATGGCTACCAAAATGGCGCCAGCTACACCTGGCAGTTTGAGGCCTGTAAGTCCCAGATCTTAAAATGCATGGAATGTGGGAGCTCCCATGATACCTTGCAGCAGCTCACCACCCACATGATGGTCACAGGCCACTTTCTGAAGGTCACCAGCTCGGCCTCCAAGAAAGGGAAGCAGCTGGTCTTAGACCCACTAGCAGTAGAGAAAATGCAGTCATTGTGTGAGGCGCCGAACAGTGATTCTGTAGCTCCCAAACCATCAAGTAATTCAGCTGCAGACTGCACAGCCTCTACAACCGAAGTGAGGAGAGAGAGTAAGAAAGAAAAGCCAGAAGAAGCCACCAAGGATGAGAAAGTTGCAAAAAGCGAGGACTATGAAGATCCTCTGCAGAAACCTTTAGATCCTGCAACAAAGTACCAGTATCTGCGGGAGGAGGATTTGGAAGATGGCTCAAAGGGTGGAGGGGACATTTTGAAGTCACTGGAAAATACCGTCACCACAGCCATCAACAAAGCTCAAAACGGAGCTCCCAGCTGGAGCGCATACCCCAGCATCCATGCCGCCTACCAGCTGTCGGAGGGTACCAAGCCCTCTTTGCCTATGGGTTCCCAAGTACTGCAGATTCGACCTAATCTCGCCAACAAGTTAAGGCCAATTGCACCAAAGTGGAAAGTCATGCCACTTGTTTCTGTGCCCACAAACCTGGCCCCATACACTCAAGTGAAGAAGGAGTTGGAAGACAAAGACGAAGTCTTAAGGGAGTATGGGAAAGAAAGTCCCCACGAAGAAGCATCATCTTTTAGCCACAGTGATGGGGAGACTTTCACCAAAAGTGAACCTCCTTTAGAATTCAAAAAGGCTGAACCTTGTCCTCAAAAGGAGGAGAACAAGCTGATGAAGGAGGGTGGTGAGAAGGAGAAATCCCAGCCCCTGGAGTCCACATCCCTTAGCAATGGCTGTGCCCTCACCAACCACACTTCAGCCCTGCCTTGCATCAACCCGCTCAGTGCCCTGCAGTCTGTCCTGAACAATCACCTGGGCAAAGCCACAGAGCCCTTGCGCTCTCCTTCCTGTTCCAGCCCCAGCTCAAGCACAATTTCGATGTTTCATAAATCGAATCTCAGTGTCATGGACAAACCAGTGTTGAGTCCGGCCTCCACACGGCCAGGCAGTGTGTCCAGGCGCTACCTTTTTGAGAACAACGATCAGCCCATTGACCTCACCAAGTCCAAAACCAAGAAAGCAGAGTCCCCACAAGCACAATCCTGTACATCCCCACCTCAGAAGCACGCTCTGTCTGACATCGCCGACATGGTCAAAGTCCTCCCAAAGGCAACCACCCCAAAGCCGGCCGCACCCTCGAGGGTCCCTCCCATGAAGCTGGAAATGGATGTCAGGCGCTTTGAGGATGTCTCCAGTGAAGTTTCAACTTTGCACAAAAGAAAAGGCCGGCAGTCCAACTGGAACCCTCAGCATCTTCTGATTTTGCAAGCTCAATTCGCTTCGAGCCTCTTCCAGACATCAGAAGGCAAGTACCTGTTGTCCGACCTGGGCCCACAGGAACGTATGCAAATCTCAAAGTTTACGGGACTCTCGATGACCACTATCAGCCACTGGCTGGCCAATGTCAAGTACCAACTTAGAAAAACAGGCGGGACCAAATTTCTGAAAAATATGGACAAAGGCCACCCCATCTTTTATTGTGGTGACTGTGCCTCCCAGTTTAGAACCCCTTCTACCTACATCAGTCACTTAGAATCTCACCTAGGTTTCCAAATGAAGGACATGAACCGCATGGCAGTGGAACAGCAAGGCAAGGTAGAGCAAGAGATCTCCCGGGTAACGTCGGCTCAGAGGTCTCCGGAGACAATAGCTGGTGAAGAGGACACAGACTCTAAGTTCAAGTGTAAGTTGTGCTGTCGGACATTTGTGAGCAAACATGCAGTCAAACTCCACCTAAGCAAAACGCACAGCAAGTCACCCGAGCACCATTCACAGTTTGTAACAGACGTGGATGAAGAATAGCTCTGCAGGTATGGGTTTGCTCCCAGGTGATGGGGACGGAGGCCTTGTGAGGAGCTTCTCCAAGGGAGATGTGTCTGCTTAGAGGCAAATCATGTCTCCCAGTACCAAGCAGGACAGTAGCTTGCTGGAGTAGGACTTACTTTTATGAAAGACTAGAATATGAGAAATAAGTCCTTAGTCATTCCCTCCGTTTCTCCAGTGTACAGTTGGGGAATAGTCAAATGAGTTTAGAGAGACAATGTTCATAGATTACTGTTTCTTTCAGGCCTTCAGGATATATATTCCCTTAGTTGGCCCACGCCCAACCTCCAAGGTCCACTCAACCAAGGCTTCACCTCATCTTAATGACTAGGTACTAACTTCTCTCACCATCTCATTTCTCCAGCCCACCTTCTCACAGCAATGTTAATGACTTAAGAAGTGACAACAAGGTGAGCACCATAATGTGGGTTGGAGATTATTAGGGCAAGTCATACACAGAGATTTGTTAACCAGTTCATGAGTAGCTTAACCATTGTCTTTATTATTGTTACTTGTAGTGAATTCTTTTTGCAGCTTCCTTTCAGCCATTGCTCCTTTCCAATCCTTCCCTTTGTTTATGTCCTACATTCAGTTTCCTATAAGGCGATTACAGAAAAATACGCTGTGCAGGACATTTAGATTAAAAGAGAAGAAGCACATTTTCTTCTCTCTTCTTTGGGTTTTCTTTAGTCTGGACTAATGTAGAGTCCAGCTCCAGCAGGGATAGCTTTGTGCATGCCCTTGTGGTTATATCCCACACCCAGAAATGAATGGCCTTCTGCATACCATTGCCAATGCCCATGGAGTCCCTCAGCTTCAAGATCATTTCATCCTGTATCATAGAAGCCCCACACCTGTACCACCAATGCCCAGATCATCTATGTCACCTCCAGAAAAGAGGACAGAGGCTGAGGTCAAATACCTAAGCAGACCTGTCACATTAGCCATTTCAAATATTGAGCATAAGCAAGACTGACTCAAACCATATCTCTTTCCTCTCCTCTTTTATATTTTTCTCTTTCTTTTCTCTCCTTGCCAGCATGCTATATCCACATGCCAGGGACCCTCACTCACATTCTGGTTGGCCCTCCACCTCAGACCACACCCCAAGTTGGGGATCCAACCTGAACGAAACCTTCTGCCCCTCCCAGGCCAGGTTGTGTCATGCCAGGCTTTAGTTGAACTCTTTTTATTAATTCACTCTATGAACACCTAGTAATAGCTCCACCTGCACGCCCTCACCTCCCCTTTGGTCAGCGTGTTTGTTTTTAAAGAGGAGATTTTCAGAGCACGTCACAGAGATTTGTAAGCAAAAACTTCTTTCAGGTGTGAGTGATAATTGTGTGGCGTGACTCTGGGGTTCGCCTCCCATCAGGTAGGGAGATTTTCCGTGCGTGATAATGGTCGAAATGAAATAAAAAGTTAGAGTATCTGAGCTGGGACTTTTCCCTGGGGGAGAAGATCTAAGAGCTTTTGATGACAGAGGGGCAACATCCTCTAGGTGGAACGGTTCTCTGGGCCCGAATGAAGATGATCCTTCTTTCGTTTGCATGTTTTGATCATGATAATTAAAATGTGTTACTGCCAGCTTCATCTCTTGCTTTCCAAGCATGATTTGTTCAGTTCACACTATTGAAAGAAAAGCCAACATGAGTCTATCGAATCTGTGTGTGAGCTTGGGGCCCCACGATGCTCTATTTATTTGCTATATAACATTTTATATTTTATGTAACTTGCTATTATGCTTTTCTGATCCTTTAAAAAAAAAAAAAAGAAAGAAAGAAAAAAAGGTGGACATAGACAGAATACCAAAAGGGACGTTTCGAATTCTAGAATGGTCATTCCTTGACCGTGCCGAAGAAGACACGTAGGTACTGTTTGTTTGTGTTGTAATAAAGACCAATTTTCCACCTGTTAGGTTTGTAATCATTTTTTAAAAAATCAATATCGCTGCCAAAACATTGTGATACGTAACGTAAATGAGAAGAGAGGAGGGAAGGAGAGCTGCAGCTGTCTCCAAAATCTGCAATTGACCGCACCTCTTCTCTGGGAGCAAAGGCAACCTGATCATTTGGGGAGAAACAGAAGCAAAAGGTACCTACAGATCTGTTAATACATAGATGGGATAGCAATCTGGGTACCTGTCTGCATGTGTACAGAATAGATATTTCAGATCTGGACCTTCACATTACGGTATTGTCTTTAAAGTGAAATCAACGCTCCATCTTTACAGAAACAGACACCATTGTGCTGTGATTCTGAGAGGTTGTGGGCAAAAGCCAGCTTTGAGTATTTGGGACTCATTCGAACACAATGGGGGCGTCCTTGTGTTGTGGGCCTAGCAAAGACGGTGTGGGCTGGTGTTGCTGTGCATGGTTCCTACCTCTGTGTCCTCCTGATGCTTGAGTCACCAGGACCAGAATACCTCCACCCTCCCATTGGTCTTTAAGAGCAACGTGGCTGCAGTCCCTTGCCTACAGCTTACGGTTATGCATTTGTGTTTTTAAATGGTCACAAAATGAGATCACTGTGACTTGGAACTCTCATTTTGGTTGTATGCATGACAGCACAAATGTGCAACGTGTCTAGGTATTTTAGAAAGCATGGTCGAGATTTTATGGAAAACTTGAGAGCTTTCTCACACCTGAGTTTCCTATGAGAAACTGCGAATTTTGACCTGAATTTTCTTTCTTTTCTCAGATATGTCTTAAATCCTGCAAATGCTCTGCAAACTAATAAATGCAACTTCTCATTAAAAAGGAATCAGAAAATATTAAATGTGCATCCCTATTTTAGAACATGAGAAATCTGAAACAAGGTCACTCTGTATCTGTGTATGTCTTTAAAAGCCACATGCTCCTGAGTAATAGAAATTAAACAGTGGCAAATTAGTAAGATGCAGAAGGACTTGAGGTTATCGTCATCGCCATGTGATATAGTGTGTATTTAACAGTGTATGTTTAGCAGCACATCTAGCCTTGAAATTGATGGTGGGAATGAATTCTAATCCAAAGGCTGATACCTTGTTGGGATTGCTTCATACAGTGAACCCTCAGGTGAACAGCACTCAGGGCTGCCAGACCAAATACAGGATGTTCAGTTAGATTTGAATTTCAGACAAAGAAATAAAGTTTTAGTGTAAGTATGTTCCAAATGTTGCATGGGCCATACTTACAGTAAAAAAAAAAAAAAAAAAGTATTTGTCAGTAACGTGAAATTCAAATTCAACTGGGCATACCATATTCTAATTTGCTGAATCTGGTGATCCTAAAGGAGCTCTGGTGGTGTAGTGCCTAAGGCACTTGACTGCTAACCAGAAGGCTGGCAGTTCAAACCCACCAGCCACTTCTCAGAAGGAAGGTTGGGCAATCTACTCCAATAGTGATACCACCTCAGAAAGCCAAGGAGGGGTTGCTATGCGTCAGAACCAACTCAATGGCAGTGAGGCAGTGAGTTTGGTTGTTTTATTATTATTATTTTTTGAAGAGCATAGATTATATAGCAGGCTGGGAAGAGCAAAATGGGCTAGACAAATTAATCCCTGTCGGGGGTGTCAGGCACTCTTTCATCTATTGAATAAGTCTCCCCTCCCTCCCTCCCATTCTCCCTTTCCCCTCCCCCCTCCTTCTCTTCTTTCACTCTTTCCTTTGCTCCTTCATCCCGCCTGCCTTCCACCCTTCCTTCCTTCCTTCTTCCTTTCATCCTTCTGTGTTCTTTTCATCCTTCAACAAATACTGGTTTTCCTTTTACTATATTGCAGACTCTATGTTAGCAATGGAAATATGGCATGAGGCAGCAGCCATGACAAATACATTATCAAATGCACCAGGCCAATGCTACGCAGGCATTATTTCACTTGATTCTCACAGATAATCCTACGAGACAGGGCTTAATCCAACCATGTTAGAGGAGGAAATGGAGACAGAGTTTCTGTGTGACTTTCACAAAGTCCCACCATCTCTGGGCCTCATTTGTTCATCACATTATCTAGCCAGCCGTCACTCCGTACCAGCCACTCTGCCAAGCCCAGGGGAGGAACCAGTGACCAGAACAAGAGTCTGCTTTTGAGGCGAGTGACAGACACACAGACAAGCAAGCCTAAGGTCAGTGCAGAGTGGAGCCCAGTCCTGGGGGAAGCTGAGGAGGGGAATGGAGGTCGCAGAAGCCGTGTTGTGTTGGGAAAAGAAGTCTGGCTCTGGAAGCGCTTGGCCTGGCTTCACATCCACTCATCCTCTCTCTAAGATGGTGTCATTGGCGCCGGTTGATGTCACATTGATTTCTGACTCACAGCAGCCCCCGTGTGCAGAACAGAAGTGGAGATAAGTGAGGATGGCCAGACTTCATCTCACCTGCTTTGGTCATGTTGTCAGAAGGGACCATTCCCTGGAGAAGGATGTCATACTTGGTAAAGTGGAGGCTCAGGGAGAAAGGGGAAGGCCCTCAACGAGATGGATTGACACAATGGCTGCTATAAGGGCTCAAACAGAGCACGGTTTGTGAGGATGTGCACAAGCGGGCAGTGTTTGGCTCTGCTGCACAGGGGGTCTCTGGGAGTCGGAGCTGACTCGACAGCACTAACAATAACAACAACATAGGATTTTTGTGACCCTGACTTCAGAAGCAGATCCAGGCCTACCTTCTGAGGCACCTCTGGATAAGTTTGACCTGCCAGCCTCTTGGGTAGTATTTGAACACTTAACCTTTTGCACCACTCAGGGACTCTGCTCGCTAACGGGATACCCCAGTTCTGTGTCTAGGAAATGCAGACTGTAATGTCCCTCTCATAGGAAAGCTATGAGAATTCAGTGAACGTGTGTAACTCTTTTCCATAAAGCCTAGCACACAGTAGGTTCAAGAGCAGTTAGTTCTAGACAGTTTCCATGAGCTCCTACTGTGTTCTTAAGCCTGAAGCAAAGAGGAAGTGCAGAATCTCCCCTGGTTGAGCTAATTAACATCTAGGTAGATCTCCCCATGAAAATACC